AAAAAAAAAAGAAAGAAAGACTTCAATTTGAGGCCATTTAGCAAAATGAGACAATGATCAAAATGATCTGTTTATGCATAAGTCATAAGCTATTGTAATTGTATTGATGAAAAAAGACAGCTAGAAATTTACCTTGTGGAAGGCCTTCTGTCAGGTAGAGGTAGAATTCAACAATGGCAGTGCCTATAGTCTATCAGCTGAGTACTTGAGAGTATACAGCCCAGCAGTCGACAGTAAGATTCGATCAATCAGAGGAGAAAAGGTACCTGTATGTATGACACTGTACAACTCATATGGGAATCATGTCTGCTGAAATTGTCATTTATCAAAAACAAAAATTGAGAAGTTTTGTTCATTTGTAATAATTTAGTATATCCAAAATTAAAAAATTTCCAGATTCTGCTTCCTTTCACTTTTCTAGTTACGAGAATAAATTGATCGTGGATCAGGTTATATTTGGAAGGCGTCATGTGGGAATCATGTCTGCTGAACCTGTGGGGAACTACGGGGTGAGGTATTAGTAATGTGTCCATTTTATAATCCAAATTATAAGACTAGAAGATTAACCCGTGTTTATCTTAACTCTCTTCGTTTCGGGTTTTGTGTGTAGATTACTTTTCGATGACTTGCACAAAACAGGGATCTTTACATGGGATTACTTTCATCATCTCGGTGCTAATAAATTCTCGCTCATGAAAAATTACATCAAAACTCTAAAGAAACACGGACTTACTAGAGATCCTACTCGGAAGAAGTAATGCCAAATCTTCCAGAAGCGCGTATGAGTTAAGGTAAGGAGATGAATATAATATATATACACCAAGACTGTTGATTTACACGACAATACAGACAGTGTCGTGAGCAATGAGAGGGTCATATACTCCAGCTTTTCTATTCACCCCGCCACTATTTGGTAAAGCTTAATGGTGACATGTCACTGTGGTCAACGGATGTTTGGTTGAATTTCCCAGAGTGATTTTTGCTATTTAGTCGAGTCTACTTGTATTTTTTCATCAGAATTTAGGCCGGTATATAGGAGTTCTGGAAAATGATCATAGAAACTATAACATGCATTCTTAGCTTTTACAAGGATCTGTTGTAAATTCCTTTCTAAAGTCGCCTCCTATGTTTAACTCTTTCTGTTTCCTCCTTGCTTTGTTAATCCAAATGTCACATAGGGTCCGCTTTCATTTTAGTATCATCATATACTTCAGTTCAGTTGTCTCTAATGGCACACATGGGAGTCTGAGGTACTTATATTTATACACGCACGTTGACATGATATTTGGAGCATCATAGCAATGTGGAGAGATATCTCGAAATTGACACTCATGTCATCTCCAGTCCTTATCTCTACTCAAGCGCGAACTTTACTCTAACTTTAGAGTAGAGTTAGACATTCGTCCCTAGCCCTTATCTCTATATTTTACTCTATCGTCATTTCACCTAATCCAGAACTATCTAATTTTCTATTAATGAAAATTCTATTGATGGTTCATCATAACAATGACTATTAGGTGTTCAAAAATCAAAATTTAAGAGAAAACGGGGAGAAGACGTAGCTGTAATTATAAAAACAATGAAAGAGGAAAATGAAAAATTTTTAGAGATGATAATGAGCTCAATATTGAAGAGGGATCGCGACAGTGAGATGTTAAGACAAAATTTGAAATCCAAAAGCAAAAAAATGAATTAAGAAAAAAAAAAAATTGTTGAGACTACCGCATGGACATAAGAAAATAAACTTTTAATGATGGATTTGAATTTGTATTTTAATGACTTGTTTGAATGTGTTAAATTTATATTTATATGGTACCATTTTAATATTAAAAAATTATAAAATAAAATTATAACACATCAATAAAAAAGCACAAATTATTCTATATAAAAAAATACATTGCACAAAGTTATTTAGCATAAAAAAATACACTTACGCAATATACAAAAAATTATCAAAAATATTACTTAAAAATACATAAAAAAAAGTTGTCTCAGTACTATTCTCGTCTCTCTTCTAGCGCACGATTCTGTCAATTACAGCGCTGCGCTGGAGATGGTCTCAGAATCCCACAAGAATCCCACTTAGAATTTCACAAGAAAATGTATGGGCTTATATTATATGTATACACGCACGTTGACAAATTATATTTTTTTCTTTGTATTTATATTTTTTAAACAATACACAAAATTAAATGTTATAATTTTGTAGTCGGTTTGCTACATTATTTGAAAAAAAAAGTACGTAAATTAAATGTTATAATTTTATTTATATCATTTATGGAAATGACATTTTTATATGAAAATATTGTAACATTAAGAAGAGTGCATTGGTTTAGGATTGTAATTAACATTTTATGATTTTTTAAAATTTAATACATTTTAAGATTTTCATATTTAACAAGAATTCTTGAAAATATTAAGTTTGAAAGTGGAATTTAAGGCGAGATTTAGTACATGGTTTTTGTTTAAAATTTTAGCAAATAAATTTAATGCCAAATAAGTTAAATATTTTCTAATTTTTTTTTTTAAGATTTTTTAAAATTTCAAATCAATACTTCGATAATTTCATATTAAATATACAATAATTTTTCATTAAAATTCTAACATCTCTTAAAAATTCAAAATGATTACACCCTCTAAATCTAAATCTAGCAAACACAACATCAACCCAATGTATTTTTATCTTAGAAAATGCAATGAAGCAACATTTGGCAATAAACTTTATGATAATTGATTTGAACATTACGTGAAAGTTAAATACTACTGTGTAACAGAGTAGTAAGTAGTAACTGATGAACCGCCGCCATCAGCCGACCCAAATTTTCCCCATTTTCAGATCCTAATTCACCTTAAATCCCACACAAACCATCTCGCTCAAGCTCCACCATTTGTTGCCCCATCGCCATCAACCTAACCCTCTTCTGCCCATCAAGCTACCCTCTCCCCAATGATCCCTTCAATTTCTCTGTTCTCCGACCAATTTACGCTTCCTGAAAGAAAATAAGGGGGAAAGGGTATTTGATCGAACACAAGGAGTGCGAGAAAAATGATCGGGGCCGTCCAATTAGGACTCTTGGCGGCCTGTATTGTTCTCTTCGTGCCCATGGGCATGGCCGGTTGGCATCTCAGCCGCAACAAGATGCTCTTCTTCAGCTGCGCCCTTTTCATCACTCTCGCCGTCGGCGTCCATTTAATGCCCTATTTCCCTATGATCTCCGCTTTTCTGTCGCCGTCGCAGGTAATCATTTCTTCGCATCGCGACTCTTGCGTGCCCTTCCTTCATAATGTTGTGTATACCGACAGCAAAGAGTGTGACGACGATGGCCCTTTTATCAATAATCACGAGATGGGTTGTAAGAAGTCATGGGATTGGATCCAGACCGGTCGGGTCGCCGAGTGCGAGTTTCAGAAGCTGAAGAAATCGGACGCATCGGATTTGTTAAACGGTTCATGGGTAGTTGTTGCTGGGGATTCTCAGGCGAGGTTGATGGCTGTTTCATTGTTGAAATTAGTATTGGGACCCGAGAGCTTGGAGAAGGTAAGAGGTGATTTGTTCAAGCGGCACAGTGATTACTCGATGATGGTCGACCAGATCGGGATGAAGCTGGATTTCATTTGGGCTCCTTATGTTGGGAATTTGACTGAACTGATGTTACTCTTCAAAAAGAACAAGAACTTGCCGGATGTTTTGGTGATGGGGGCAGGCTTGTGGGACATGCTGCACATTAACAATGCCTCTGAATATGGTGCCTCTTTGCGAGTTTTGAAAAATAACGTGCTGGCTCTTATCCCGGTTTCCTCGAATTTGGATTCTGATGTTGAAGAAGGGCCTAAATCGGAGGCCCGTTTGCTGCATTTGTTCTGGGTTGGGATGCCAACTTTGATAACATCAATGTTGAACACAGATGCTAAGAGGGAGAGAATGACGGGCTTGATGTGCAGTGCGTATGAAGATGAGACAAAAAAGAGCCAGATTTTGCGCCAAGGTGGGGGACCTCTTTTGAAGCTCGATATTCGTCTGTTGAGTGATTTGTGTGGCCCTCTATGCTCGGCTGATGGGATGCATTATGATGGGGTTGTTTATGATGCTGCTGTTCAAATAATGTTGAATGCCTTGATAATTGAATCTGATCAAAAGCTCCTGAGATGATGTTCGTTGTAAGTTGTAACTGCACCCAAGTTTGAAAATTGAGAATGTTTTTTGGTGTGTTCTTGAGGCTTGCTGGGTAGGACTCATGAGGTCCTTTGGTTATTGGTGCTGAGATGTAAAATCAAGTTAGCCCGTAAAATTTTTTTACAATCGCAGTTTGGATGGAGGTTTAGTTTTGGGATCATATCTCAAGTATGCTTGACTGATGTATGCACAAATGTT